TGCACTCAGATTTTCTTTCTCGCCAACACTGTGTTGGAAAATGAGGCTGCACCTATATTTTTACTTCTGCTTTTCCCTTCCCCAAGTTCCTTTTTTTTTAAACGAATTTTTATTTTTGATATATATATATATTTTAAATAAATTTATTTATTTACTTTTGGCTGCGTTGGGTCTTCGTTGCTGTACGTGGGCTTTCTCTAGCTGTGGCGAGCAGGGGCTACTCTGTTGTGGTGCGTGGGCTTCTCATTGCGGTGGCTTCTCTTGTTGAGAAGCACAGGCTCTAGGTGCACGGGCTTCAGTAGTTGTGGCACGTGGGCTCAGCAGTTGTGGTTTGTGGGCTCTAGAGCGCAGGCTCAGTAGTTGTGGTGCACGGCCTTAGTTGCTCTGCGGCATGTGGGATCTTCCCAGACCAGGGCTCGAACCCATGTCCCCTGCATTGGCAGGAGGATAACCACTGTTCCACCAGGGAAGCCCCCCCCCCCTTTTTTTAATACTACCAACAGATATATTAGGTACTGTTTCTCACATGATATGGGAATAATTCTGTGTAAAGTAGAATTTCATTTCAATGGGAACTCATGCTAGAGAAAAGTATCGCTGTACTTTATTGTCACTATTTTCAGGGATTACAGAAGCAGAGAACCATCTGGTGGCCTCTTAATGCAGATGCCTCCTAGAATATACATTTTCATTCCCAGTACCGAGGATGTTTCTTGATACACAGTAAGAACACAATGTCTGCCGAAGTATTTAATTTATAAATGCACCGTAGGACCTAACTCCTTGGCCTAGAGGTTTTCAGAGTGCTGTGGTTCAATATCATCCCAGCAAGGATTATCTCATGGCATTGTGTGCCCAGATTTGGGGGGCACCCCTGTATCTAACAAAATCACATTGCATTTACTTTTTTTTTTTTTTTTTTGCGGTACGCGGGCCTCTCACTGCTGTGGCCTCTCCCATTGTGGAGCACAGGCTCCGGACGCGCAGGCTCAGCGGCCATGGCTCATGGGCCTAGGTGCTCCGCAGCATGTGGGATCTTCCCAGACCAGGGCACGAACCCGTGTCCCCTGCATCGGCAGGCGGACTCTCAACCACTGCGCCACCAGGGAAGCCCTGCATTTACTTTTTGACCAATAAATTCCAATCCCCAAATTTCCTTTTAAGATACAACTCGAACAATATGAAAATACATATGCGTAACATAGTGTACTATTTTTAATTGTAAAATAATGCAATAACCTAATACATATAGGAAAATGGCCGAAAAAAGCATGGTACATACACATGGATGCAGCTCTGAAAAAAGGAAGGAAAAGGTTGCAGGGAAGATTAAGATGGCAGAGAGTAGGAGAATGCTGAGCTCACCTCACCCCAGGAACACATCAACAGTACAACTTCACGTGGAGCAATTCTCACTGAAAACAAACTGGAGACTGGCAGAAAGGCTATTCTACAACGAAGGCTCTAAAGAAAGATTCACACAGAGCCAGGTAGGAAGGGAGGAGAAGCTGTCGTATCAGGGCCTGCGCCCTGAGCAGGGAACACAAAGCGGGGGGGATATATCACAAGCTCGGGGATCCTGCCTGGGGAGTGAGGGGCTCGAGACACATATTGGGCACCCCCAGACCTGGAGTCTGACACTGGGAAGATGAGCCCCTTTAGCTGGTTTGAAAACCAGTGCGCCTTACCAGAGGGCTGGCTGTAAGAAGCGAGACTGCTAGTGAAGAGTGCCCACGTGCTCGATTACTTCCAGGAACAAGCCAGAGGAAGCAGTAAATTAGACTCAGTAAAACAGGTGAATGGGTGAATGTATGGAGGGAGCAGGGCGATGGTCAGGAGAGGAGAAAGAAAGCAAATAGTTCTTTTTTAAACGCTCTAGTACATATATTTCGGTAAACAAATATACACAATTACTGTTGGGTACATAGCAAGGAATGAAATTTGCCGGCCAAATTTAGCTTTAGTAGAATACCGCCAAAAAATGTTTTCCAAAGTTATTCCACTTCACATTCCTTTTTAAAATAGCGCTTATTGGCTGTTTTAATACTTTTAGGAATTGCCAAAGTCTTCTGCCTTTTTTGTCTTTTGTTTTCTGTCGTAGTCATTTGTATATTGTGTATATGAGACCTTCATTAGATCTGTGTATCACAAAAACCTTCTACTCTGTTGGTTGCCTTTTCATTTTTAATGATGTCTTTTGATGAAAAGCTCTTAAAATTTTAATGTAGTATAATTTACCATTTTTTTCCTTTATAGTTAGTGCTTTTCTGTCCAATGTATGTGTATCCTAAAGTCATGATGATATTCTCCTATATTTTTCAACTGAAAGCATTATTTTTTTACCTTTAACATTTAGATCTACAATCTGTAATTAATTTTTGTATGTGGTATGAGATAGGTCAAGATTTTTTGTTCCATACAGACATCCAATTAATCCAGCATCATTTATTGAAAAGACCATTCTCTCCACTAAGCAGCAGCATCATCTTTTCAAAAAATCAGTCTGTTTCTAGACTCTTGACTTTAATCCATTCTTTTGTATATTCTTTGACCAATACCATTGTTTTAAACACCTTTTTAATAGATCCTGATTATCTAGTATTTAAGACCACAGCCTCATTCTTCACTGTTGCCTCAGCTGTTCTTTGCCTTTACATTTCCATATAAATTATAGACCAGCTTAATTTCCACAAATAAACCTGGCTGAGATTTTCCCTGCCAATACAGATTGATTTTAGAGAACTGACATCTTTCAATTTTGTCTTCATATCATGAGCATGGTATATCCTTCCTACTTATGTCTATCTTTTTGTTACATATCCGATTTTTTCAATGGTATTGCAAAATGACAGTATTTTAAGCTTCATTTTCTAACTATTGGTTTAGAAAGCATAAAAAGAAGGGTTTTTACTCTTTTTTTTTAATATTGAACTTGTCTTTAGTGACCTTGGTAAATCAACTGATTTCAATAGTTTGATCTTTTTGGAATTTTCTATGTCCACGATTGTGTCCTATACAAAGGACATTTAAAGGCTTTTCTTCCCAGTCCTTATGCCTTTTATCTTGCTTTATTGAACTGGTTGGAACTTCCAGGATAATGTTGAATAGAAGTGGTGAAAGCAGTTATTATCGCTACGTTTCCTACTTCTGGGAGGAAACTTTCAATAATTCACCATTAAAGATGATGCTTCCTGTACATTTTTCACGGATATTTTTTTATCAGATTGAGGAAGATCCCTTCTTTCCTAATTTGCTAAGTTTTTATCATAAACAGGCACTGAAGTTGATCAAATGCTTCTTTTGCTTCTGTAGAGATGATCATGGATTTTTCTTCTTTAAATGTGGAAAACAATACCAATTTAAAAATAACTACTGTTTGCTTTCCTGGAATAAACTCAATTTGGTTGTAATATATTATTCTTTCATACATTGCTAAATTTGATTTGTGAATATTTTATATAGGATTTTGTATCTATGCTCATACCATGCTGTTCGGTAATTTTTTTGGTAAGGATTGTAAAGTTTTGGTATCAAGGTGGTGCTAGCCTCAATAACATAAGTTTTCCCTTTTCTCAGTACCCTGGAAGAGTTCATGTAAGACTGATACTTTATTTTTCCTTAAATACTTAAAAGGATTACCCAGTGGAAGCATACAGACCTGAGTTTTTTGTGGGAAGGACTTTTTTTTTAATTAAGAGATTCAGTTTCTTTAATACAAAAATTTTATTCCTTCTTGGGTCATTTTTAATAAATTCTGTTTTCCAAAACATTTTTGTTTCATTTACATTGTCAAGTTTATTGATGCTAAGTTCTTCACAATACCTTATCTCTTTAAGGTTCAATGGTTCCAGTGATGTCTCCCTTTAAATTCTTAACAGTGATTTGTCTTTTTCTTAATCTTGCTGGAGGTTTACAATTTTATTATTCTCAGATTTTCTGTTCTGTATGCTTGTTTTAAATTTTATTGATTTCTGCTCACATCTTTATTTCGTTTTCCCTTCTATTTTCATTAGGTTAAATTTGTTACTGTTCTTCTAGCTGCTTGAGATGGAAGCTTACAGCCTTTCCTTCTGCCTGTCACTTAATATTACTATACCCCCAAAACCTATCTCAAGAATTCTCTTTTCACTCAGTCTATAATCTCCAAGGGCATCTCATCCACAGGTTATGGCTTCAACATCTACCTATATGTTGTTGATTTAAATTTTTTTTTATCTATCAGAACAGAATATTAATTCCCCCCTGCCCCCAATCTGTTCTCTAGTTTCTCATATTATACTATAAGATCCACAACTAACCTAACTTCCCTATCTGCTGCTTGTTTCTACTCTTTGTACATCACCCATCTCGATGAATAATATATTCCTAACAAAAAAACCTGAGAGCTATCCTTAACTCTTTCTGACATCCAATTAATAACCATATCTTGTTAATCCTAATTCCTAAATCTGTTTCAAATCCATGCCTCCTTTCTTATCACTATTGCTACTATTCTTGTTCAGACCTCAACATTTTCACTCTGGACTTTTCAACAGTCTTATTAGTCTCCTTGTCTCTAATTTGTTTCTCTACTAATCTACTTTTCACAGACATCTTTCTAAAGTGGAAATCTGATCATAACATTCTTGCACTCAAATTTTCTTAATCATTCCTATGAGATTAAAAAAATCTAAATTTTTTGACACTGCACAACAGAGCTCTTTATGAAATTAGTCTTACCTTGCTATGCACTCCCTACCAAGAAAACCAGGGACATAATTTAAAAATAACAAATGACTTACATTTCCTCATGTGCCAAGTACCCAAGTACATCCCCATTTTTTAAACTGTGCTGTTCCCTCTGTTTGAATGCATCCTTCCATCATTATTACTATTACCACCACCACACCACCACCATAGCTCCTAGAACCATTTTTCACATATAAAAGACAGTAGTACATTTAATCACTTCTTAAATATAAAAATAACTTGATTATTCAATAAATCCAAACTCAAATTTATATTTATGTATTTAATTTTATTTGGTATACACCACTATGACCTTATTGTAATTGAAATCCAATACAGGATTTTTTTTATGATTAGTCAACTCCACAAAGACAATAATACTGCTGTGGAAGACCAAAGGGGAAAAAAACTGATATATTTATTTACAGTTCCCTATATTGTAAACATTTAATCTATACACTGGTAGTAACTTTTAGTGAGAGCTTTACATAAACAAGGAAATGATGCCCTGTATTTCTATTCATACTTGGCAACAGCATATTAAATAGATTATCAGATTTTCTTTTTCATTAGCATTATGCTTTCTTTAGATAATTATCTAAACTTTCAAAAGATCTAAATATATCCAAGTACTATACAACTAAATCTACTTAAGCCAACATATTTGGCTTATAATTTCATTTTTAGAATAATTTAAAGTGCTATAAGCAACCTGGCAATCAACACTTTCTATAAGAACAAAACTACCTTTAAACATTAATTTACAAGATAATATACAATGTTTACCTGGAATAGCTGAAATTTCAGCACAAGGTCACTGTCACATGTATAACGGCAGGATTTTTTTGCATTACATGAAGCTTTGAAATTAACTGATGAATTATTGCCGCAATGGCTTATTATTGGTTTCCTACAAAAGAGGATAAGAACTACTGATATATTTTATCTTTTCTTTTTTTGAGGTCACTTGACAGTAAGTTTGCATATTCAACAAGTCTACTGAGTTACAATATTCTACTATAATCATTGCCCTTTTATAACAGCAAATGCTAATGGTGATTAGTAACATATACCACTCAAAAAAAAAAAAATCACACGGTTTTTTTTTTTTTTTTTTTTGAACAGGAACCTTATTTTGGGAGTTGGTGTGCAACAAGGCTAAAACAACAGAACTATAAAACAGTATACCTGACACAATATGTTGACGAAATATGCATCTGTTTCTTAGTTTTTGTAGTTATGATAATGCCCTGCTAAGCTACAAATATGTAAATAGTATATTTTCTTGCTTGATATATTAAATTCAGTAGAATCATCAAGTTCTCATTCTCCTTTGTCATTTTATAACTCTTTATCAGATAATTCAACGATGAAAGCATATGCCCAAACCTGCAGATCATGTGCACTGTGGTCTATTACAATCAGAATTCTCCTCAAATTTCATTTTTATTAAAATGAAATTGAGAATATAGGCAAAATTAATAAAGAGAATGTTGTACTGTGAATTAAAACTAGAACTCAGTGGTCTATGAAGTATGCATTGTTTTGGCATGTGTTTTTTCCTTTATAAGAATTACTAAGCTGAGCATGTCGAAAAGTCACCTGTGCCAACCTCACAGATACAGCAGTACCTAGTCTTCATTCCCTCAATATCCCAGGTTAGACTACTCTACTAAAACAATCAATATAGTTTAAAAAATAATAAACCAAAATATGTTCAACAAAAGAGCACCATCCTATTAGGAGACTGAGAAAACATGGATTATAGATGAGGTGGTCACTATGATCAAAATGCTACCAAAATTATGACAAAAGCTAAGCTGTTACACTTCAGGGACCCACGCCATGGTCTAACCCTAAAGACCTCTGGGACAGAAACACGATTTTAAAAATAAATTCCAAAATTATAGCTGTAAGAAATGGTGATATGAACTATTTTTAAAGTATGAGTTACATGTTACATTGTATTGCTTCTTGAACTTTCCAAACAATGCTTGTTTGTCCATGTCAGGTTTGGGCCATTATCCTGCTAAGAGAGAGAGCATTATATTCATTCAAAAGCCCAGATTTCAATGTCTTGGATAAAGAAGTCTTCCTTCTTAGAAAGTGTATGATTTCCAAATGTTTTACAAGAATGGCTTCTTCCATGGTAGAGATCTCCATCAAGCCACAGGGCAAATTCTCCCCTGTAATACATAGAAGAAAATAGTTCTAACAAAAAACTTTTAATACTTATGCCCTAAGTTGTAAAAGAATAATTGCAGACGTTGTAAAATATTAATTTAATGAGATATTTCAATATTCAACAACTCTAAAAATTTTTTTCAAAACCATTCCCTACTCCTTTCCACACAAAGTGGCACAAGGCAACTTTGTTTTGTTCATATCCCATTATAAAATTACTTAACATACAGATCAAGGAGTAAGATGAACCCTCTAACATTATAGAATTAGCTTTTGAGGCAGGTACTACTCTGTTATTCTTTGCCTGGTATTATGAATTTCTCTTTGCTGTTTGGTTTTAATATATTTAACATGAGTTTCTTAGTGACATGAAAACTCCCTATCATCTAAAATAAAATGTGTGGTTAATGTTAAGGGTTCAATCTCTTTTTCTTATTTATTTTTATTTTTTTTGCGGTATGTGGGCCTTTCACTGTCGTGGCCTCTCCTGTTGCGGAGCACAGGCTCCGGACGTGCAGGCTCAACGGCTATGGCTCACGGGCCCAGCCGCTCCGTGGCACGTGGGATCCTCCCGGACCAGGGCACGAAGCCGTGTCCCCTACATCGGCAGGCAGACTCTCAACCACTGCGCCACCAGGGAAGCCCAAGGATTCAATCTCTAACTCACAGCTGAGGAAACTTTAGACTTGAGTTGTTCAAGGTCCCACATGTGATTTATGTTGAAGCTGGAATTTGAATCAGGTCTATCTGACTCCAAAGTCTATATTCAGTCCATCACATGATTTTGATTTCTTTGGGGCTCCTGGTTGGAATTCTGGAATATCAAGTCCTTATAGCTCCCATCTTCTGAGACTGTACTCACCTTCAAAGACTGTAAACTTGTCTTAATTTGTTATCAACTGACCCAATGGTTAGTTTAGCTTGCTGGAATCATGTTGCATCATTAACACTAAGTTGCAGCAAATATCTAATGACACTGTGTACATTACTTTCAAAGACTGAAGGCACCCTTAATAGTTTGAAATTATAAGCCACTTGCTTGTGACGCTTTCCTGGAGAGCTAACTGAATCACATGTAAGACCACCACTGGAGTAGGGCCGAATGACTCTGCCTTCTCCCCAAACAAAAAAAGGTGTAATTGGAACATATAAACATTATAAGCTAATTCCAACAACTAAAAATAACATGGTTTTTAGTTACCTGGTTATGTCCTTCAGAGAAGGCTATCATAACCATGGTTAATTTTTAATCACTGAAATCATGTCTTCCAAATACCTATCTATAGAGAAGTTGAAAGAGAATGTGCTAGAATCACTCAGGATGATGAATATGCAGGCTAACAAGATTCTGTGACCTGAATGAATTATTATTATATATCCTCAAATGTGCGAAACAAATAACACTTCTATAAATTTAGGAATTATTTAGCATACATTATTCTGATCTTGAAGGATAGAGAGAAATAACAAATGAAGGAAGTCGTGTTTGCTAAGGGCTAGTTGAGAAGTCTAGGCTAGAAGGCAGTAGAGCAAGCTACCCCCAAATACCATGAAGACTAAATGAAGTTGGAATACCAGAACAAAAAAACAAAGTTTCTCACAATGCTTGCTATGTCAAAAGAATCAAATCAAACTGCTGATTACTCATACTGTTAAAAAAAAAAGAAAACAAGCCCTGAAAATTTGGCGGGGGGGGGGGGGGTCACTAACATTTTTAACAGGAAAACAGATTTCTATTGTCTAAAGTATCAATCCAAATAGTCTCCAGAGTAGAACATGAAAAACTTTAGACCTTTTTTATAAATTGAGAGAAAGAACATATCACCATGGTTTTTTGAAGATTTGAGAAGTTCTAAGGGATTAGTGTATTTCTCTTTCAACTATCAAGAAGTCACTAGACTTTAAAAGAAGGGTTTTAATCAAAAGGGTTAATCAAAGGGGAATCAACTAAACAGCATTTTGAGATGAGTAATATTCTACCAAGAGTTTCAACTACACTCAAGCACCTTCTTGCAAATATTATACTTTCTTAGTCATAATATATAAATTAATATTCCAATGTCAAAACTTTCCAAAGATAGCTGATTTTATAAATAACACAAATGAATTTTTTTTTTTTTGGTACGCGGGCCTCTCACTGTTGTGGCCTCTCCCGTCGCGGAGCACAAGCTCCGGACGCGCAGGCTCAGCGGCCATGGCTCATGGGCCCAGCCACTCTGCGGCATGTGGGATCCTCCCGGACTGAGGCAGGAACCCGTGTCCCCTGCATCGGCAGGCGGACTCTCAACCACTGCGCCACCAGGGAAGCCCCACAAATGAATTTTTAAAGTTTCTTTCAAAATCTCACAGTCAAATGTTCAAGAGACTTACCCTCCACCACCAAAAGCTAGTGAATCCATGTCTCCTTTGATAAAAAACATATTATCTCCTGTCCACTTAAAGACCTACAAAAATGAGAAAAGCTTTAAATATGTAGATGAAAATATCACTATCACTATCTATGTGAATTTCTCTTTTCTGACTACAAGAGTTCGATGGTCAATGAGAAAAGTTAAAGAAAGAAGAAAATTAGTTAAAAACTGAGTAGATGTCATTAACTTTTTTTTAGCATCAAATATAAATGAACATTAATTTGATAATGTTTTAACATTTTGATATAGGGCCAAGGTCTTTTCTTTGGGTATGAATTTGCCTATCATTATTCTCACAGAAGCCTACAGCACGTGTTTATGCTTTCCAGTTTCAATTTCTTTAAAGAGGAGTGAACATAAAAACACTTGAGACATTCAAGGGTAAAACTTCTAGATGTTAATATTAAATATTTTTAACCTTTCATGGAAGTTCTATCTAAACCTAATACAACATCAATTTCTAGCACCTCACCTTTATAAAAATTTTCCAAAGTATTCATTACAGTTTTCAATAAAATAAACTTTAGCACTCACTTTTTCATATACATATAACATTTGTTTAATTACATTATTAGTTACCAGGTAGAAACAGCATCATAAAAAAGGACTGGAAACAAGTATAACTGAAACTTCAAAAATCTGTAACCACTACAAGCTTCCAGGTAGCTGTAGGCCATCAGTTGATATGTTTTATGGAAGGAATGGAAAGCACTAGTTAATCTGGTGAGCCACTTAAACACAAATTTGTTAAGAGAGTTTGTTCCTATTATGTTATCAAATCCTATTTTGTTCATTATAGAAACTGTTCCTAAAGACAATTTTTAAAAACAACAACTGTGTTGACCCCTATTTTCAAGGTTATAATTTCATCTCTTAGGTACTGTCTGACATGCTGAACCTGACTGTACCAGAGACTCTGAGATTGCACTCAATGCTTTAAACAGTTACACATTCACTAAAATTCATGTATTAAATTTCAGATCTCATTGGCATTAGAATGTATCTAATTTTAGTCAAGTCACAATGAAGAAAACGAAATCAGGTAATCACTTTTGATTTAACCCCAAATAATTTATTTTTTAAATTTTCAAGACTGACATCATTAAACTTATTTAGTCATTAAAAGTTTCTAGAAATTTTACAATGATAATTAATAAACAAAACAGTAATAATGACATATACTCCTTACTGAGCCCATGATGTCTTTCTGGTACCACGCCAAGTGTTACACATATATGATTCTCATTTAATTTTTAAACAACCTTATTACATTTTATGATCCCCATTCTAACCACAGGAAAGTTGAAGCTCACAATGGTCAAAAAAGTGCTTGGTTATCAGTTAGTAAAAGGCAGAGATTGAGAGTCAAATGCAAGTATGCAGGACTCCAAAGTGAATGTTCTATTCAAGATGCCACCTCTTCACAAACTGAATATAACTGGAATAACTGTTCTTACCTCAAATTGTGGACAGAACGTAAAAACAAAGGTCTCTCCAGTACCATAAAAGCCATCACTTACTTTAAATGGCTCAGATGCCAATGCACCAAAAACCTAAGGATAAAAAAGGCATGTTCAATGACATGACTATTAATTTGTTTCGGTGAGCACTGTCCCATTATATATGTTTAAGTAAAATGCAAAAAGTTTAATCTAGCATAGTTTTGTCTACTTGTACTTAAAAAGTGAAACATGACCAGTTGTCACACAATTCGTATTATTGTCAGGTACAAAGCATATCAGTTTCTCAGTGGGGAAAAACCAGATTTTTCCTAGTTTTGAAATCTAAAAACATGTCTATTTTAACAAAAAGATAATCTAAAAAAGTGGTAGCCACATTTCAGCATGACAATGTACACACAGTGAGGACAACATGCTGTTGTGGTACTGCAGCACTTACGAAAGCAAAAACCCTTCAGTATGGGTAAACATTCTACTACTAAAAAGGTATGCCAGTTTCCTCTTCATTAGACAGTAAATTCCATGAGGACAGAACTTCAGTCTGAATTGTTTGGTCCTGTAATGCCTTGGCTTTACACAGTACACGACACACAGTAGATACTCTAAAAAAAGGATGAATAAATGAACAAGAGGACTGGACAAGTCATTTCAATGTTGTGGGTCTAAGGTTCCAGATCACGAAATGGCAAAGTAGAGTTTCATGATCTCTACAGTCACTATCTCTCCTGACATTCTACTTCCAGACTCAATTTTTAAAATAGACTTTTCTTATTGTAAGGTGTGTATGTACATATATATATGTAAATATATATATATATATATATAATATAATCATACAAATCAATTTGGAATCATCACAAAGTCCCATTCAACCTTCATGCAGACCTAGAAACAGGACATTACCAGCACCCCAGAAACTCTGTACCACCACCTCCACCTCCCAAAATGAAGCTACTAGGTCTGACAATAACAAAGACGTGTTTTGCTGTTTCAGGAATAATCAAACTGTCTCTTCCTTATCTGGGACTTTGCTCTTGGTCTCATCCTCACACAATTATCTTTATTTATTTATTTTATAAATTTAACTTATTTTTTAGCTATTTTTTTTAAAACATCTTCACTGGAGTATAATTGCCTTACAATGGTGTGTTAGTTTCTGCTGTATAACAAATTGAATCAGCTATACATATACATATATTCCCATATCTCCTCCCTCTTGCATCTCCCTCCCTCCCACCCTCCCTATCCCACCCCTCTAGGTGGTCACAAAGCACTGAGCTGATCTCCCTGTGCTATGTGGCTGCTTCCCACTAGCTATCTATTTTACATTTGGTAGTGTATATATGTTCATGCCACTCTCTCACTTCATCCCAGCCTACCCTTCCCCCTCCCCGTGTCCTCAAGTCCATTCTCCACATCTGCATCTTTATTCCTGTCCTGCCACTAGGTTCTTCAGAACCATTTTTTCTTCTTCTTTTTTTTTTTACATTCCGTATATATGTGTTAGCATACGGTATTTGTTTTTCTCTTTCTGACTTAGTTCACGCTGTATGAGTCTCTACGTCCCTCCACCTCACTACAAATAACTCAATTTTGTTTCTTTTTATGTCTGAGTAATATTCCATTGTATATATGTGCCACATCTTTATCCATTCATCAGTCAACGGACACTCAGGTTGCTTCCAAGTCCTGGCTATTGTAAATAGAGCTGCAATGAACATTGTGGCACATGTCTCTTTTTGAGTTACGGTTTTCTCAGGGTATATGCCCAGTAGTGGGATTGCTGGGTCGTATGGTACCTCTATTTTTAGTTTTTTTAAGGAACCTCCATACGGTTCTCCATAGTGGCTGTATCAATTTACATTCCCACCAACAGTGCAAGAGGGTTCCCTTTTCTCCAAACTCTCTACAGCAATTATTGTCTGTAGATTTTTGATGATGGCCATTCTGACTGGTGTGAGACAATACCTCACTGCAGTTTTGATTTGCATTTCTCTAATGATTAGTGATGTTGAGCATCCTTTCATGTGTTTGTTGGCAATCTGTATATCTTCTTTGGAGAAATGTCTGTTTAGGTCTTCTGCACATTTTTGGACTGGATTGTTTGTTTTTTTGATATTGAGCTACATGAGCTGCCTGTATACTTTGGAGACAAATCCTTTGTCAGTTGCATCGTTTGCAAATATTTTCTCCCATTCTGAGGGCTGTCTTTTTGTCTTGTTTATGGTTTCCTTTGCTGTGCAAAAGCTTTTAAGTTTCAATAGGTCCCATTTATTTGTGTTTTTATTTCCATTTCTCTAGGAGGTGGGTCAAAAAGGATCTTGCGGTGATTTATGTCATAGAGTGTTCTGCCTATGTTTTCCTCTAAGAGTTTGATAGTTTCTGGCCTTACATTTAGGTCTGTAATCCATTTTGAATTTACTTTTGTGTATGGTGTTAGGAAGTGTTCTAATTTCATTCTTTTACATGTAGCTGTCCAGTTTCCCCAGCACCACTTATTGAAGAGGCTCTCTTTTCTCCATTGTATATTCTTGCCTCCTTTATCAAAGATAAGGTGACCATGTGTGTGTGGGTTTATCGCTGGACTTCTATCCTGTTCCACTTATCTATATTTCTGTTCTTCTAACACTACCATACTGTCTTGATTACTGCAGCTTTGTAGTATCATCTGAGGTCAGGGAGTCTGATTCCTCCAGCTCCGTTTTTCTTTCTCAAGATTGCTTTGGGGGCTTCCCTGGTGGTGCAGTGGTTGAGAGTCTGCCTGCCGATGCAGGGGACACGGGTTCGTGCCCCAGTCCAGGAAGATCCTAAATGCCGTGGAGTGGCTAGGCCCATGAGCCATGGCCGCTGAGCCTGCGCGTCTGGAGCCTGTGCTCTGCAACGGGAGAGGCCACAACAGTGAGAGGCCCGCGTACTGCAAAAAAAAAAAAAAAAAAAAAAAATGCTTTTTATTAAGGGTGTTTTGTGTTTCCATACAAATTGTGAAACTTTTTGTTCTAGTTCTGTGAAAAATGCCATTGGTAGTTTGATAGGGATTGCAATAGATCTCTCGATTGTTTTGGGTAGTATAGTCATTTTCACAATGTTGATTCTTCCAATCCAAGAACATAGTATATCTCTCCACCTGTTTGTATCTTCTTTAATTTCTCTCATCAGTGTCTTACAGTGTTCTGCATACAGGTCTTTTGTCTCTCTAGGTAGGTTTATTCCTAGGTATTTTATTCTTTTTGTTGCAGTGGTAAATGGGAGTGTTTTCTTAATTTCTCTTTCAGATTTTTCATCATCAGTGTATAGGAATGCAAGAGATTTCTGTGCATTAATTTTGCATCCTGCTACTTTACCAAATTCATTGATTAGCTCTAGTAGTTTTCTGGAAGCATCTTCAGGATTTTCTATGTATAGTGTCGTGTCATGTCATCTGCAAACAGTGACAGCTTTACTTCTTCTCTTCCAATTTGGATTCCTTTTACTTTTTCTTCTCTGCTGTGGCTAAAACTTTCAAAACTATGCTGAATAACAGTGGTGAGAATCTTGTTCCTGATCTTAGTGGAAATGGTTTCAGTTTTTCACCACTGAGAACAATGTTGGCTGTAGGTTTGTCATATATGGCCTTTATTATGTTGAGGTAAGTTTGCTCTATGCCTACTTTCTGCAGGGTTTTTATCATAAATGGGTGTTGAATTCTGTCAGAAGCTTTTTCTGCATCTATTGAGATGATCATATGGTTTTTCTCCTTCAATGTATTAATATGGTTTATCACATTGATTGATTTGCATATACTGAAGAATCCTTGTATTCCTGGGATAAACCCCACTTGATCATGGTGTATGATCCTTTTAATGTGCTGTTGGATTCTGTTTCCCAGTATTCTGTTGAGGATTTTTGCATCGATGCTCATCAGTGATATTGGTCTGTAGTTTTCTTTTTTTGTGACATCTTCGGTTTTGGTATCAGGGTGATGGTGTCCTCATAGAATGAGTTTGGGAGTGTTCCTCCCTCTGCTATATTTTGGAAGAGTCTGAGAAGGACAGGTGTTAGCTCTTCTCTAAATGTTGATAGAATTTGCCTGTGAAGCCACCTGGTCCTGGGCTTTTGTTTGTTGGAAGATTTTTAATTACATTCTCAATTTTAGTGCTTGTGATTGGTCTGTTTATATTTTCTATTTCTTCCTGGTTCAGTCTCGGGAGGTTGTGCTTTTCTAAGAATATGTCCATTTCTTCCAGGTTGTCCATTTTATTGGCATAGAGTTGCTTGTAGTAATCTCTCATGATTCTCTGTATTTCTGCAGTGTCAGTTGTTACTTCTCCTTTTTCATTTCTGATTCTGTTGATTTGAGTCTTCTCCCTTTTTTTCTTGATGAGTCTCGCTAGTGGTTTATCAATTTTTTTTATCTTCTCAAAGAACCAGCTTTTAGTTTTATTGATCTTAGCTATTGTTTCCTTTATGTCTTTTTCACTTATTTCTGTTCTGATCTTTATGATTTATTTTCTTCTGCTAAATTGGGGGGGGTTGTTCTTCTTTCTCTAATTGCTTTAGCTGTAAGGTTAGGTTGTTTATTTGAGATGTTTCTTGTTTCTGAGGTAGGATTGTATTGCTATAACCTTCCCTCTTAGAACTGCTTTTGCTGCATCCCATAGGTTTTCGGTCGTCGTGTTTTCATTGTCATTTGTTTCTAGGTATTTTCTGATTTCCTCTTTGATTTCTTCAGTGATCTCTTGGTTATTTAAGAGTGTACTGTTCAGCCTCCATGTGTCTGTATTTCTCACAGATTTTTTTCCTGTAACTGACATCTAGTTTCATAGTGTTGTGGTCAGAAAAGATACTTGATACGATTTCAATTTTCTTAAATTTACCAAGGCTTGATTTGTGACCCAACATATGACCTCTTAGAGAATGTCCATAAGCACTTGAGAAGAAAGTATATTGTGCTGTTTTTGGATCAAATGTCCTATAAATATCAATTAAGTCCATCTTGCTTAATGTATCATTTAAAGCTTGTGTTTCCTTATTTATTTCCATTTTGGATGATCTGTCCACTGGTGAAAGTGGGGTGTTAAAGTCCCTTGCTATGACTGTGTTACTGTCGATCACCCATTTTATGGCTGTTAGCATTTGCCTTCTGTACTGAGGTGCTCCTATGTTGGGTGCATAAATATTTACAATTGTTATATCTTCTTCTTGGATTGATCCCTTGATCATTATGTAGTGTCCTTCTTTGTCTCTTGTCATAGTCTTTGTTTTAAAGTCTATTTCGTCTGATATGAGAATTGCTACTCCAGCTTTCTTTTGATTTCCATTTGCATGGAGTATCTTTTTCCATCCCCTCACTTTCAGTCTGTATGTGACCCTAGGTCTGAAGTGGGTCTCTTGTAGACAGCATATATACAGGTCTTGTTTTTGTATCCATTCAGCCAGTCTATGTCTTTTGGTTGGAGCATTTAATCCATTTACATTTAAGGTAGTTATCGATATGTATGTTCCTATTACCATTTCCTTAATTGTTTTGGGTCTGTTATTGTAGGTGTTTTCCTTCTCTTGTGTTTCCTGCCTAGAGAAGTTCCTTTAGCATTTGTTGTAAAGCTGGTTTGGTGGTGCTGAATTCTCTTAGCTTTTGCTTGTCTGTAAAGGTTTTAATTTCTCCATCGAATCTGAATGAGATCCTTGCTGGGTAGAGTAATCTTGGTTGTAGGTTTTTCCCTTTCATCACTTTAAATATGTCCTGCCACTCCCTTCTGGCTTGCAGACTTTCTGCTGAAAGATCAGCTGTTAACCTTATGGGGATTCCCTTGTATGTTATTTGTTGCTTTTCCCTTGCTGCTTTCAATATTTTTCTTTGTATTTAATTTTTGATAGTTTGATTAATATGTGTCTTGGCGTGTTTCTCCTTGGTTTTATCCTGTATGGGACTCTCTGTGCTTCCTGGACTTGACTATTTCCTTTCCTATATTAGAGAAGTTTTCAAGTATAATCTCTTTAAATATCTTCTCAGCTCCCTTTTTTTCCCTCTTCTTCTCTGGGACCCCTATAATTCAAAAGTTGGTGCATTTAATATTGTCTCAAAAGTCTCTGAGACTGTCCTCAATTCTTTTAATTCTTTTTTCTTTATTCTGCTCTGCGGTAGTTATTTCCTCTGTTTTATCTTCCAGGTCACTTCTCCGTTCTTCTGCCTCAGTTATTCTGCTATTGATTCCTTCTAGAGAATTTTTAATTCCACTTACTGTTTTGTTTATCATTGTTTGTTTGCTCTTTACTTCTTCTGGGTCCTTGTTAAACGTTTCTTGTATTTTCTCCATTCTATTTCCAAGATTTTGGATCATCTTTACTATCATTACTTGGAATTCCTTTTCAGGTAGACTGCCTATTTCCTCTTTATTTCTTTGGTCTGCTGGGGTTTTACCTTGCTGCTTCATCTGCTGTATATTTCTCTGTCTTCTCATTTTACGTAACTTACTGTGTTTGAGGTCTCCTTTTCGCAGCCTGTAGGTTCATAGTTCCCATTATTTTTGGTGTCTGCCCCCAGTGGGTGAGGTTAGTTCAGTGGGTTTTGCAGGCTTCCTGGTGAAGGGGACTAATGCCTGTGTTCTTGTGGATGAGGCTGCATCTTGTCTTTCTGGTGGGCAGGACCGTGTCTGGTGGTGTGTTTTGGGGTGTCTGTGAACTTGTTATTTTAGGCAGCCTCTCTGCTAATGGGTGGGGTTGTGCTCCTGTCTTGCTAGTTGTTTGGCATAGGGTGTCCAGCGCTGTAGCCTGGTGGTCATTGAGTGGAGCTGGGTCTTCGCGTTGAGATAGAGATCTCTGGGAGACCTTTCGCCATCTGATATTACGTGGGGCCAGGAGGTGTCTGGTGGACCAATGTCCTGAACTCAGCTCTCTAACCTCAGAGGCTCAGGCCTGACACTTGGCCAGAGCACCAAGACCCTGTTAGCCACACAGCTCAGAAGAAAAGGGAGGAGAAAAAGAGAAAGAAAGAAAGAGAGAGAGAGAGGGAGAGAGAGAGAAAGAAAGAAAGAATGAAAAAAAGAAAGAGAGGAAGAGAAAGAAAAATAAATTAAAATAAAGTTATTAAAATAAAAAATATATTATTAAAAATAAAAAAATAAAAGAGTAATTAAAAAAAAAGAAAGAAGAGAGCAACCAAACCAAAAAACAAATCCACCTATAATAACAAGTGTTAAAAACGATACTAAAAAAAAACAAAACAAAGCGAAAAAAAGACAGAACCCTAGGTCAAATGGTAAAATCAAAGCTATACAAAATAACACAAAGAAGCATATACATACACACTCACGAAAGGAGAAAAGAAAAAAATATATATATAAAAGAAGAAAAAAGGAAGAGAGCACCAAATCAATAAACAAATCTACCAATGATAATAAGGTCTAAATACTAAACTAAGGTAAACATAAAACCAGAAACAAATTAGATGCAGAAATCAAACCCCAAGTCTACAGTTGCTCCCAAAGTTCACCTCGTCAATTTTGGGACAATTCATTTCCTATACAGGTATTCCACAGATGCAGGGTATATCAATTTGATTGTGGAGATTTAATCCACTGCTCCTGAGGCTGCATGGAGAGATTTCCCTTTCTCTTCTTTGTGCGCACAGCTCCTGGGGTTCAGCTTTGGATATGGCTCCGCCTCTGTGTGTAGGTCGCCTGAAGGCATCTGTTCCCCACCCAGACAGGACGGGGTTAAAGTAGCACCTGATTAGGGGGCTCTGGCTCACTCAGGCCAGGGGGGAGTGTGGGGTATGGAATGTGGGGCAAGCCTGCGCCGGCAGAGGCCAGCATGACGCAACAGCCTGAGGTGTGCTGTGTGCTCTCCTGGGGAAGTTGTCCCTGGATCACGGGCCCCTGGTAGTGGGGGGCTGCACAGGCTCTCGGGAGGGGAGGTGTGGATAGTGACCTGTGCTTGCACACAAGCTTCTTGGTGGCTGCAGCAGCAGCCTTAGCATTTCATACCTGTCTCTGTGGTCCGCGCTGATAGCTGCATCTCGCGCCTGTCTCTAGAGCTTGTTTAGGCGGTGTTCTGGATCCCCTCTCCTTGTGCACCCCGAAACAATGGTCTCTTGCCTCTTAGGCAGGTCCAGACTTTTTCCCAGACTCCCCTCTGGCTAGCTGTGGCGCACCAGTCCCCTTCAGGCTGTGTTCACGCAGCGAACCCCAGTCCTCTCCCTGGAGTCTCATCTCTGAAGCCAGAGCCTCAGCTCCCAGCCCCCACCCGCCCTGGCCGGTGAGCAGACAAGCCTCTCAGGCTGGTGAGTGCTGGTTGGCAGCAATGCTCTGTGCGGGAATCTCTCTGCTGTGCTCTCCTCCGTGTCTCTGAAGCTTCCCCCCAACCACCTGCCGTCTCCGCCAGTGAAGGGGCTTCCTCGTGTGTGGAAACCTTTCCTCCTTCACAGCTCCCTCCCAGAGGTGCAGGTCCCATCCCTATTCTTTTGTCTATGTTTTTTTTTTTTTTCTTTTGCCCTACTCAGGTATGTGGCGAGTTTCTTGCCTTTTGGGAGGTCTGAGGTCTTCTGCCAGAATTCAGTAGGTGTTCTGTAGGAGCTGTTCCTCATGTAGATGTATTTTTGATGTATTTGTGGAAAGGAAGGTGATCTCCACGTCTTACTCGTCTGCCATCTAGAAGCTATCTCTCACAATTATTTTTAACTTTCTAAAATTTACCCACATTTCAAGACTGTCAATTTCCACTACTTCCTGGAACCTCATTCTTATCTCCCTCAGATAGGAATGAACAATCTAAACACCCCTTTTACTTTTTATAGATTCTAACTATACTAGGCATATTTTGCTTGGCTTTAGAGATACTTGCATACTTTAGTATTCTTTTCTACCAGATTATAATTCCTTTGAAGGCAGGAACTGTTTAATTATTCATGCTCATATCTATAGGACCTCTGTAGGACTCAGCATTGCCTTGCATATCAAAAGCACTCAATAATTACCAGTTAAGCTTAATAAAATATACTAATGAAAATTTTTATCAAAAGAATATGCTAACATTACTGTTACTACCATCTCTTAAAAGGTAAGGTTGTTATTTTTCATACCTGCCCATCACTGTCTTTAATCACCATCAGCACTGGAGTGTCTAAACCTGTCATTGTTCGATAAAGGGTCTTCAAGCTTGTACCATGCTTCCCAGTACCATAAACAAGAGTCCATGGATAGCCAATTGTTCTTGGTGGAAGATGCTTGGTAAGCTTTGAAAAATAAATTGTTAACACATACTCAATAGTTGCTTATTGTTAATCTGTACGATACTAATCCAGTTGGAATTTAATAGTACTTTATAAAATGCAGCCTACAAAAATAACAGTAGAAAATATCACTGTCAAAGATACTGAGATGCTTGAAGAATAACTCTACATTTCTCAGTATGAAACGTTAATCGTTCATTAGGAAAAGAAACAGTCATACCAAACAATATACAGATTAGAACAGAGGCAAGAAACATGGATTACTTATTGTTTGCATCCTCTGTATCAAATTAACAAAAATATTTGATGAACTGTTAGCTTGATTATTAATAACCTCTCAAATCCAGAGGCAGACTATCAGAATTAGAAATCAAGCTTCAATATGTTATAACTGTATGGCTTTGAACACTTACGTAACCTCTCTGCACCCAAGTTTCTTCACTTACAAAATGTGACAGTAAGAGCATCCAACTCCTACAGGGGCTGCAACAACTACATTAGATTGCCCATATAAAGCAAGTAACTGGCACACAATAAGAAATTAAATACTGGCCATTATATTGTCTCACCTAAATTGCTACTGTTATTTATTTTAATGTCTGCTTACCCAAATCTCCTAATATCTTCTATTACAGCTAGTTGCTATATTTTGTTTACTTTCTCTGCATTGAAGACTAAGACTAGGAACAACAGCCCTGCTTTTTCAGTTTTCAAAACAACTGAAAACAGGGTATTTTATTTTCATGGCACATACTCAGAAAGGCACATATGTGGGTATGTCATACCTTTTCAATTTGATCTGGCAGTAAGAGTTCACTGGGATCACTTAGGTTTGGTCGAAAAGATTCAGATTCCAGGTCTGCTTTCACTGGAGTAACCTGCTTTGAATTTATATCTTCCCTTGTAGTAATCTAAAGAAGTAAACAGCAGCAACATATTAATACAGAACGGCAACCAACCTTCAAAAATTTTAGGCTTTTGAGAGAAATAAAACCTTATACCTTAAAAAAGGTGGCTAAAGCTTTAATTTAGGATTTTAGAATAGGCAAAAGATGCTCCATCTAATAACAATGGCATGTCCAATGCAGAAAGAATAACTACATTTTTTTTATAAGCAGACATTTTTCTCATCGACTACATGAGGAAGGACAGGTATTGAATGATAAACTTCACATTTCTGGTAAAAAGAGGTAAGTTGCATGGAAACTTTAATTTTTCTGTTCAAGGGCAAAAAATGAGCCAGCTAGCTTGCTTTTTATCTGTGCTATTTAAAATATGTGAGATTATTTTTTCATGGTAATCATAAAATTTGCCAAAAGTAATTAAGAAAACTTCCTGGGTGCCAAAATTTTAATTTAAAAAATAGTACAAAAAAAAAGTATGTTTCATTGGTGTGCATGTGTATGTGAATTTATCTGCTTCACTGAAAAGGTTACCATTATTTTTAGAAATGCCTTTTGAATTTTTACTTTCTAAACATGAAATTTTTTTATCTAGCTGAACCAAACAATACATTTAAAAGTTAACTTTCTCACAAACCTATTTTTAAATTAGAACAATTTGATGCACTAAAAAGTATGTATGCTTTTCTTGATGGAAATGATCTCACTGATATTCTTAAAATGATAAAAATGTTGATTAAATCAAAACAAATTCTTATACAATTTATTCTGTTGGTACTTTTTCCTATTAATTTTGTTTTCACATGTAAAATGGAATAATATTAGAAAATAAAATATATGAAACAACAGTGATATTCTTAAAGTGACAGAAACGTTGATTAACTTAAATTCCTGTACAATTTATTCTGTTGGCACTTTTTCATATTAATTTTATTTTAATATATAAAATGCAGTAATATTAGAAAATAAAATATATGAAACTACTGTTGATGAAACTTTTAACTGGAAAACAGAATTCTATTGCAGCAGATAACTAAAATGCAGCAATTCTCGACGACTGTGATTCCACACAGGAATGAAATCTTGCTAAATTATTTTGTTCCTTTAACAGATTTCTTACCAAACCTAAACAACATATATTTTCAACCAATACATGTTCTAGAACTGTATTGTTTTTTGATGGAAACTATATTAATTCTTTCACATCATCATCATGTTTTACCCTTATTTTGATGATGTGAAAGGTTAAAAAAAATCCAAGGCAGCATGAGAAGCATTAAAAGAAAAGAAAAAAATTCAGGAGTTCTAGCAAAGCCATGAAAGCATATCTCATTAAGAAGAGGAAAACACACAATAATACACAAAGCTGAAAAATGAGGTCAATTATATAGTTCTTATTCCTGAAAAATCACAAAGATTATTTCACAGAATTTTAAACAATTTATCTAGTTGTAGTGCCTAATCTATACTATTCCAAAGTATTTCTAATACCAACCAGGAAAACCTAAGGAGAAAAACAATTCATCTCATTATGATATTTGATGTAGGGTTGATACAACTGCAATAGCCTTAAAGAAGAGAACCTTGCTATTCGTTAAATTTTTAAACATTTTCCCACAGTACATCTTTCGGATTCCATTTAGTAAAGATCCTACCTCAAACCCAAGACATTCTTCCAATGTAAAATGAAAACTCCTCATCAATCTAAGAAATACAGTACTGAGAACAGTTCTAAAATAACAGAAAATTCCTCTGAACATTTTTCAAATGAAAAGATGCCAGAAAAGATACTCCTACAGCTCTTCAAGGCAATACTGTACTCTTTAATACAAAAGGAATTTTCTGATGGGGTATTTTAGTGCTGCAGTCAAAACGAATCCTTCAAAAAAGAGATTTGCCCTGACAAAAGACACTGAAAACAGGGAATATTCAATCTCTGGAGAGGTTTAAACTACTGAAGGGGGCACCTGGAGACGTCTGCAGAGTGTGCGCAGTTCTTCAGTATTTAGAGCATCGATCCTGCGGTGATACTCAGCCACTGACACTACCTGAATATGGAGACAGGAAGACAATAATTCCACTGACAGTTGAGAAAAACAGCCAAAACAAAACAAAAATTGGAGAAATTTAAATGGGAAAGAGAACTGTAATCAGGATTTCTTTCCCCACTCCATGCTGAAAATCCAAGAGATTTATATATTAAACTACGGTGAAATACACATGAATGAATTTAACTTATTAACTACTACATCCAACTAACTACTAGTACACAACTTAAGGTTTATTTATAACTACTAGTACACAACTTAAGGTTTATTTATAACTACTAGTACACAACTTAAGGTTCACATAGACAGAATTTGACTGAATAAATAGAATTACAGTCGTTTATAAAAGAAAAGCTATATAAAACATAACATGCTTTGCTAACATCAAAGGTAACATCTAAAATCTAACTGTCTTGCAGTTTACAAAGAACATGGTAGTTTCAACTCTCCCCTTCAAATCAGTTTTAACTCAAACGTTACATCCTAATGGCAATGCTGGAAAAATTTCTTCTAGGCAAAGGTAACAAACATACCTGTGCTATATGATCTGTATCAGAACAGAGAAGTGGGGGAGCAAGAAAAAGACATGAAGTACATTTTAAAACCTAAGACAGTAAGAAAAATAAGCTCCAGAAATAGAAAATTAGATTTTTTAAAGCATATCTAATAGCATTCTCAGGCATGTCCACTTAGTCTTTCTAAATGATCCTGAACTGAAAGTTTTTGCCTTTCCTCTACAGTAATTCTTTGTAGTTGGTACTGTAGCAGTTATTTGTGACTAAAACGTAATGACTTTCCTACATTCTAAATTTCTAAGGGAAATTCTATATCTTCTGTAATTGCTTAGACCAGTCTCTTGCACGGTGCTGAATTTGAAAGCCATGTCTGACAGATAACTATTATCATAAAAAGCCCACGAAAATAGACAAGTTTCCTCAGACTGACACAACAGCTACAGCTTTTTCAGATCATGACATAATTCCCAAAACAGTAAGCATAATATAGTGAACTCTGGTGGTGCTATAAATATGTACTGAATTCTCCTGACCTATGACAAATTCCTCTTGTGATCAATCAATTATGTGTAGAGGTTCTGGCCACAAAATGCAGTTAAACCAATTGACCCATAAAAGGTTTAGATTTTTAAACTAACCTAGGTTTTAAAAGGTTCTTGTTCCAGTCAACTAAAACGAATTAGCTACTTCTATGAAGAGCTGTAAACTTGTTGAAAGCAATGAAAGACATGAGAATAGAAAAAAAGGACAAGAAACTGAACAGATTTTCCATTCTGGCCATTATTATTAGATTGACTTTTGAAAAGCAAGAATGCTTGCAATATGATAGCTGACTTTCTACTTACAAAGAAACCCAAAGTAGTTATGATTTCAAGCTCTGGGGAATCAGATGGACCTAGGTTTTCCCCCTTCCTTATCTATTTCTCCATAAAACAGTGGAAATAATAATAGTACATACTAAATAGGGCTTTTGTGTAAATAAAACGAAGAAATGAAATGCACATAAAGGATTGAGTATAGTGTCCACCACAGACTAAATAGGGGTTAACACTACTTTTACTTAATTTTCCATCAATTACCCTAAGGACTAAAGGATAATGTTGAAGAGTCTCCATATTTATTTTTGGTTTTTATTTTTGACATTAAGGTATTTCAGCTTTAAGAACTCAACTATTTTATATATTTTGCCTATTTTGAAAGTTTAATTTAAAAATATTAAAGATTTTTCAATTAAGAACAACAGAATTTTCAATAAAGATGAAAGAAAAATTAGGTACTAAAAGTAAAAAAATAAAAATCACAGCTTGCTTTTCTAAGACCAGCAAAAGAAATCTCTACAAAATATTTAATGACCAGTTATACCTTTCTTCCTTTTTCCTATGGCATTCAGTCTAATCGAGTTTCCTAGACAAGAATTTTCAAATTATATGACTTAACTATTCCTCTGCGTTCTTTCTATTCCTCTACTCAACACTGATCTTACACTGAAAGCTCTTCTTTTTACCATATAAAACACAGTTCCTGGATGAAAGTAAATTGAATTTGCTCACAAAACGGATCAGTTATAATCTAATTGTATCAACATCACTTAGAGTAGGAATCATCAGTGAGGGAACCATAAATTGGCATCATAAGTATAAGCTTATAACATCTGGTAGTCATAGTTTCTTTAATGTCACAAATCTACTTTCCTCATTCATTTTCTTTTTTTTTGAACTGTATTCCTTTCTGGAACTTATAAACTCACCACTTCCTTACCTTTAAATATTTACTCATGCTGTGATGAATGATAATATACAATATTGTCAAAAGAGTAGGTGAACTAATAAAGAAAAAGGATTTGAAATCAAATGACTGTGATCTTGGGGTGGCCTCAGCCTGCAGCAGCTTCAAGCAGGATTTCGGTTCCCTGGCCAGAGACTGAAGTCAGGCCTCGGCAGTGAGAGCGCTGAATCCTAGCCACTAGACCACCAGGGACAGTGGCCAGCGACAAGGTCCCTGGCTCATCGGCTTTGTAGAAATGAATTCCCAGACATGAAAAGTAGTGAAAAAAGTAAAGCATTTATTAGGAGGAAAAAGGGTACGTATGAATAGACTCACTGTACGTATGCAGACTCAGAGAGTCGAGAGTCGTGTGCTCGTAGTAGTTGACCTCACTGTATGGGGCATTTCTTCTGGGTTCCCTTTGGCCAATTATCTTGCTTTGCCTGGTTCTGAGTCTGTAACTGGTTTATCTCAGGGTCCTCCCACGTGTGCATGTGCATCTCTTAGCCAAGATGGAATTCTAGAGAAGAGGCCTATGGGTAGGTTGACATCACTTACTATGGGGTGACGCCCCCTCCCTTTTTGACCTCTGTGGAGCCTTTCTGCGCATGTGTAGTGGGAAAGGTCTCCTGGACTCTGAGAACGAGAAATACGTGGTCCCTTTATCTTTCATCTGGGCAGG